AGTCAGGTCAAGTAATCTGTCTGAGGCATGTTACAACTACATTGTCTAATTAGTAGTGTACAACTGGAAACCAACACAATTATAGATAAACGAAAAAAGATCAATTACTAAGAGATATATAAAACTACGCTTCTTGAGAACTAATAGAACTTGGCAAACAACACATAATTACAATTACATCAAACATGACGAAAATCCCAAGACTTATTTACAACAATGATTTCAAAATGCAGGAATATTCATAACTACGTAATAAGCTGTTTTATAAAACTGCTTGCTGGTTGTCTGTGAGGTTTCAATAGTGAAAATATTTTGAAAGATGTTTGTGAACTAAAGATAAATAATATAAAACTATAACACAATTAAAATTTTTACATATAAATAGTTTGTATGATTGTGTAAAATAAAAAATATACATTTATAGTTCATTATACGTAGCAACTTACGAGATTTTTTTGCATTCTTGACAGTGAACTAAAAAATAAGTGGTCCTATACCAAAAGTATTTCCACCTGATTTCTAATCAATGTATAAAACTTGACACATGACTGCCATAACAACAGGGGTCGTGTGTCTCTACCCTAACATCCAAAGGAATGCTCCAGAAGATAGGGAGCACAATGTTGGAAGAAACAGTTACTAATACCTCTTATTTAGAAGTTCCATGTGGTAAATAAGTAAGTTTCTATCAAAAGCCCAACTGTCCTCACAAAAACTTGTTAAGTTCAAAACTGATCGAAAGTCAGAAAAGTTGGAATTTTATGTGATTATTTTTTAAATGAAAATATTTGTAATAATACACTGAAATACTTGCAGAATATTGAAAGTATTTATAAACTATTTTCTTAATGTATTTTTTAATCTTATTTATATTATGTAATGAGAACTAACATAAATCCAAATTGTTTGTGAGGTTGAACTATGTAACTTTGTAAACAATATCAGAATAAACAACATAGCCATGTGATTTGTAATATAGATGTAATGTTGTAAACTCTGATAAAGTGAAAAGACATATTTTTTAAACTTTTATTTACACCAAAAATATATGCATTTGAAAAAACAACAACAAACAATTGTAACGTAAAACATAATTCATAATATAAATACATAAAAAGATAATTTGTTTGAGAACACACACACACACACACAATGAGAAACGAAAATCACAAGGCCGATAATACCTTTATATCTCAAACAAATCATGACAAATATCGAAACGTAGGTTAAAAGAAACCTTCTAGAAGATTGTTTATATTTAACTTTTTTCTTCACTTCCACCTTTCTTTTGGCCACAAGAACATAGTTTGGTTCTCATAAAACTATGCTTCTTTTCATTCTTGGATCTATTATTTCTGGCAATAGTGTGTGAAAATAAAGCTGATCCAGTTTAGGGAGCATCTTTTCAATCCAAAAATTGTCATCTCGAGTGATTTGTTGAATACTTATGTCAAGAGGTGCCCAAATAATGAAACCACAAAATTTTTTACAAGTTATATGAAGTTGACCCTGTACTTGGTAATAATATGTATGTGTATTTTTCAGTTTCAAAATATTATCAAGTAAAGTACAACAGAAATCTTTAATTGAAAGTGCAGCCTGTAAAGGAGTCATTCCCTTAGCTTTTAGTGGGCACCTGACTTAAATATACCATCAGACCCTACAACTGTATTTGGAGAGGCTGCTTAGTATCTTTTCTCCATGTCCAAAAATAGGCCACACTCCTGTACTTGTTTTCCAGTTTTAGTGAAGTAATCAAGTAGGGCAGTTCTTTCGTTGCTTTTATCATACTCTATTGCAGGTGTAGAGAAAGAAAAACTGTATAAAATTCTCTTCACTTTGGAACTGCATGATGTAATATCCCTCATCTTGTAAATATCTCCAAAGTGAGAAGCTTTAAGTTGTCATTTCCTTCCTTTCCTCCATAAAAACTTGTTGTACTGACCTTGTGTTTTTTTTTTCTTTCAATTTCAATTTGTTGTTCTTTTGTAACTTGTTGTTTTTTTAACAAATCATTTTTCAGTTCTATGAACTCTGAATCTGGGATATTGGGCTTTTTTGACTCAGACCCATAATCCTTCTTTCCATTGTTATCCACAATTAGAAATTTCTTGAATTTCTAGCAATTCTCTTTTGCCTCAGAAGCTAAAGTCTTTTGTGAATCATCATCTTTTGACTCTGAATTTTAGCTTTATATTTCATTAAGAGTGCAGATGGACTTTTTTGTGGTGCTGGATTTCCAGGCCAGACTGTTATGCTGGGCCAAGGTGCAATGCTAAACCTGTAGCATATACCCTTCTATTCTCAGATCCTCGTTTTGATCTACAGATCTGTTTGCCACCAGTGAACTTAGTCACAAGATGCACATAAGTCTCTGCTAAGCTGCTTGTTGAGTTGCTTATCAGATGGTGTGCCTTTCTGACTAATGCATCAACAGCAGTCATTATTCTGCTTAGGGTTGTATAAGGTATGTTATTCAAGTAGTTTGTTTTGCTGTCAGTTATTTTTTGATGGGAACAGTAATAGGATTTGCACTTGCTATGATCACCAAATATATGATAGGGTGCATTCCTTAAATCTTCTTTCAGTTTCTCCACAGAATTACTGTTTTGTGCATTATGCCGAATAGCTCCACAAGCACATTTTTTAAATTTCAATATCCTGTTTTTGCTCAAGTGTGTGCACTTTTCTGAACTTTCTCCTGCTATTTGGAATAAAGTTTTTGTGTACATTCTTACAGCATGATTAGCACATTCCATTTTGTCTACATTCCTGCCATAAGAAACACGCTCCATAACTTTTTTTGCCATCAACAATCATTTTATTATACCGGAGCTTATGCATCTCTTCTCCTTTCTTTGCTGCTGCCGTACATACACAACAAAATTTATTTCTTACACTCAAGAATAATAGTTTTTTGTCCTTTGACCAATAATAACTGCTACTCCTAGTTGGCTTTGTACCTATATCCATAGCTTCTCTTACTCCATCAACAGTTACAGTAATACATGGAACTCCATCCATGTCCACGGCTATAGCAAGACACCTTTCTTCACAACCTGCTGTCATAAGTTGCATATGGAGCAGAGCTTCCCATTCCTAAACAAGGAAAAATATAATAATTTTGGTATGTTTATAACAGAAATTACAACAACAGAAAATATCAGTTTGAAAGCCAGAATGCATATTAAAATATTTGTTGTTATTCACAAGGGTAAAAATATAAGCTCATATTGTGCAACTAACTTCATTCAATCAGAAAGCAACCATGGTGGGGGTGAATAGCCACAAGGTAAAGGGATAGCAAATGGTCAAAAAACAGGAAGAAAAGAGTAGCACAATAGCACAAGTATAGTTGAAAAGTTAGTCTCAACAAGGAGACGGGGGGGAAACTGATTATATCAAAATGAATAATAAAAGAACAAAAACGGATATAAGGAATCTGGCCAAAAATCTGGTCATATTCTGAATCACTTTTTACAAACTGAGATTTGACTATCCCTCACTCTGAAAAATTCCATGAAGGGTTATAACAATGAAAGAATTAGCATTTTTTATACCTTGTATATTACAATGTTTGATAGATTTTATTCCATAGGTATTCTATCAATGTGCGATTATAGGGATCTGTAAAATCCTTATATAGTTTACACATATTTTACATAAACACTTATGAGCTTTTATGTTTATGCCTACATGAAAATTTATAGAGTTATATATATAAGATATGTTTAGGAAAACCTGAATTTAAATTATGTTGTCACATCAGATATTAAAGTTTTATAACTAAATTGTTATTATTGGGTTTTTCTACTGTCATCAACAAACAAACCTGATTTTATATTTTTTAACTGACATTCAATGTCATTGTTTACTAACCTCAATGCTCCCCAGTGGCACAGTGGTATGTCTGCAGACTTACAACGCTAGAAACAGGGTTTCGATATCTGTAGTGGGCATAGCAAGATAGCCCATTGTGTAGCTTTGTGCTTAACTACAAACAAACGACCTAACCTCTATCAATATTTATTTTTTATACTTATGTATGTGTTTCATGTGTGTGTGTGTATATATATATATTTATGTATGTGTGCGTATACATGTATATATAATGACGAAACTATGACTTATCTTATGCACCAGATAATCATTACAATAATGTTTTTTTTTCTTTCAAGACATTATCAAGAAATAATCTATTAGACAGTATCACTTTTTATTGATCTAAACGTATAATAATGAACCCTAATGAGCTATTTATCCCTGTAATGATACTAGGTAGAAGTGCAGAACTTTTTGCAAGTGAAAAGATCAGACCCAATCAATGTAATTGACGACGAACTGAAAATTTTGAGATGGCTGCCATCTATGAGATTTTATGTGAACTAAGCCTCAATGCATTTTCTAAGGGCATTTTTTTAGTTCATCTCTCTTAGAAAACAGTGTATTACTTAAAAAGATTTATCGTTTGAAGAGTAAATAATAAACATAATTAAGTGGTTAACCTTGTAGATTTTAGTGTAGTTATGATTGGTTTTATTTTATGACATCTTAAAATTATGACAAAATTGCATGTTTACATAAAAAAATATTAACCACTCATATATGATGGTGAGTAACTATGCACAAAAGATTGAACACTTTAAACACATAATTTTTATGCTGTAACTCAATTTTATGTTGAGAAAGTAACTTTTTCAAATAATTTTGATAAAAAAACTATTCAATAAGCAGCCTAATTTCAACTTGTATTTAAATTTTTAATGTCTTGATTTTTCCAAGAAGTTGTTATTTTTAGAACATTTCATTTACCAGTCTCGAAAAACACTCATGAAACATCCTTTTGATACCCGTATAAAGGTGAAGGAAAACCTTAAAACGTATTTTTGTATAATTATGTGATCTGAATAGTTAAATATGAAAATTTTTGTATTTTGGTCATTGTTGTTAATTGCACAAACTTATTTAGTACTTAAACTATGCTGTTTGTTGCATTATAGGCTGTCTACCTCTGTTAGTTCAGCTATTACATGGTAATGAAAAAGATGCCAGTTCTAGTGAACAAGACACTAATATAATCAGACAGACTGTCCGACAGACTCGTAAACAAGCTTCTCAGGCTTTACACAACATTGTCCACTCTCATCCTGATGACAAGAGAGGCCGTCGAGAAGCAAGGGTGCTCCGATTGCTTGAGCAGATCAGAGAATACTGTGATCATCTGAGAGATATTGAAGCAAACATTGCTAACAGGAGTACTTACGGTATGGGGTATATGTTGTAGGATTCTGATAATTATATAAGTTTTATAGTCAAAATTAAAAGTATAAATCAATATTTGTATATTTTTTTTTCTATAAAGCTCCATGAAATTACCTTTACCTTTTTTCTAGTAAGTATTAAAACTTGTAATTTTTAATGGTATGCTGCATGTGAGGAAAAGGTTTTTATTAAAGAAATATAAAGACTAATCAAAAGACTGTTTCTGAACATTAACTGAATTAAAGATCATGACATTTTTATTTTATTTTATTTTTAGAAATCTTAAAGTTTGAAACTTAAAAATGTTTTAAAAAACAGGGTAATACATCAAATTTACAAAAGTAGAGTAGAGAAACCTTTATTCCAAGCTTAATAAATTCCTTGAACTTTTAGTACTATTTATAAAGTTGTTTGACAATCGTGCATGTTTTATATGATACTGTGAAGTTTGGAAACATGCGTAATATGTGAAGAATTAAATCTTTATATATATATATATATATGTGTGTGTGTGTGTGTGTGTGTGTGTGTATATATATATATAATAATACTTGTGAATAAAGAGTATACTTTTAAAAACATTTTGAAGTTTTCTATAAGTTATCATTAGTGTTTTCTTTTGTTACTTATATGTAAAAGTATTTATAGCATAACCTTTTTCAAGGTTTGAATAAAGATTCTTTACCACATACATTTTTAACAGCTGTGCTTTCAAGGTTAGAATGGACTAAGGTTTATAATATAAGAATCCCACCCACTCTTTGGCTTCCTCTGTTTTCAGATGTTGTGTTTGCCTTATTCCACAACTGTTGAGAAAAACAAAAGTGACCAGAAAATCACTTTTAATATTTTTCATAATTCTTTATAAAAATACAACATTTCACATATCATGTATACAGTGTTCATATTTCTCCTTTAGAGATTGTTACATTCGTTGGAACATTCTGAACATCTTCAGGTATGAAAGCTGGTCATGTGAGCCTGTGTGTCTTGTGCAGGTTGTGTTCCAGGAATCACAGTACTGATGCACCCTAATAATGCACCTGTATGTGCAGGCAGTGCTAGGCTATCATAGGTGGCTCATTCTGTCTTCCAATCTGAATCCAGAAAAAGTACACTGTACTTGAAACACTGAATATTTACATGGAAAATATCATTCCCCTCACTACTGACCCATGTGTCATATGCTTAATTCTCAAATGAATATTCTTTTATGTATATATATTACCACCTGCTTCCACCAGTATATATATCCAGTGTATATCACAAACATTCTGTAGACAAGTATGGTAAGTTCAAAGCCACTTCACTCTGTTTTCACACCAATCTCTTTCATGTTAAACCTTCTTTGTATTTAACTTGCTGGAGTGTTTTAGGTTATTTCACTACTTCACTTGTGTGACAGCAGAATCAGTTTCTATTTTCTATATGAAAGCATTCTAATAGAAGTTGTAAAGAGTACTAGTAATTCTTAAACTATCCTCTATAAAAAGAATTTGGAGTTTGGAAAATACCAATAGCTTCAACTATTTTATATATTCATTTTTTTATGGACCTTTAGGGGATGCAACCATCACTGGTCTCACAGTTTTTGACAAGTGGATGCTGCTTATGCATACTGAAACTTTGCCCCTGGAAAGTAAAACTTGGCACTTTGCTGTGTATATACGTGTGTGCCAGTTAAAGGATGAAAACTTTGTTATTCTCGTCTTCCTAAAAGGCCTGCTAGATATGAGTTTGTGATGGCTGATATCTTTAGATATAAGGTACAGAGAAACAAAGCCACTTATAAAATTAGAATTAGCCAAATATATTTTCCAGACCCAAAATTGTAGATAGAATTATGTTGGATAACCCAGTGTGGTGTTTAACAAGGAGAATCCTTAAACAGATTCACATAGGTCTAACATGGGTATTCATCAAAGATGGAATCCTGGAAAACAACCTGTCAAACTGACACTTAGTCAGTACAGTCAGATTGAAGTATTCACCAGTTATTGTGTGAGATCTGTCTGAGTGTGTTCCACCTGATATTTTAGCTGTTGCAGGTATGTTCTCCAGAAGATAAATTATATCCATCCTATTGCAGTTGGTGTGGTCTTTCATCTTTGCACCTGTCACAAGGTTGGTCCAAACTCCTTTCTGCCCAGATAGCTTTTTTAGCACTGTATATACATAACAAATACTTGAGTTTCTGCTTCAAGTGGTATAACAGTCAGTTGAGTACATTTTGGACACATGCAACATTTGACATGATTATTGCCCATTGACATCATTTTCAGTCTTAAACACTTAAGGATTTTTTCAAGTTAGTTTGCTTAAAAGTACATCAGAAGTAGAATGTGGAGGAGGAAGAGCATAGTTTGAATCACTTATATCAATTTTACTGTCATATGGACAAGGTAATCAGGAGCATGGCTTTGGAATAGTAGAACTGTTGATGGCATTTTGTACAAACTATACCAGGTTTGGCAGGAGTTTCCTTTTTTTTTATTGAAGATATCTTTTCAGTTCACTACTACTTGATCCTGATAAATGCCTTCTCTCCTTTAGTACACACATCACATAGAATGTTATGCATATGTATTCCTTCAAGATAACTAAATGCTGTCTTATTAACATGACTTCAGTGTAAACTTTATAAACCACTCAATGAGCAGTGTGTCAAAACATTATTAGTTTCATAACTACAAAAATCTCTAATGAGCAAGCTGTAGTTTCATTGGCTAGTAGGTATGATAAATTTGAGATTAGTGTAGGTTTATTCAGTGGTTACCTTTTAAATGTTGTATATTTATATCACAAAATGAAAAGTTAAAAAACACAAAAGATGGGTCTTGACACTAACATAAACAGTAGCTGTTATGACTTTGCTGTCTTTAGACAGTGTCACCTGCTAATATATGCCACATCCTGTTGTGATAAACCAGATGCCAAAAAGTGAAGTTGTTTAAAGATAGTGCTCACATTAAAATATTGATCCAAAATAGGAAAACTTACTTTAAACTAAACACAGTTGCACAAGTGAGCCTACATAGGATTTGATAAACATGGAAAAATAAGGGTGTGGCAATGTTCAATTGAAAGTGTATACCCTTTAGTAGTACCATTACAGGTGAAACTACTTCCATAGTGAATAATTATTTTTTGCTCCTCGTTTGTTGGCAGGATTCTTATTTTGTTAACCTGTATCATTTATGATTTTAAAGAATGTTATTGTGTTGTTTTTTTTTATTTAAAGAAAACAACTATGTGACATTAGTCTCATTTGATTTTCAGAAGATTCAAATCAGCATCCTGGGCCAGCTATTGCTGCTCTAATGAAGCTATCTTTTGATGAAGAGCACAGACATGCTATGTGTCAATTAGGTAACTTTATGTTGCATTTATTATGGATTTCATTTGTGTTACTTACTGACATAGAAAAGAATTAATAATAGGGTTTGTATAGGTGCTTCAAAACCTTGAATTACATGAAATTGATATTTTTAATTCATGGCGTAGTAAACTTTGAAAAACTGCATTTAACTGCTGAAAAAAAATTCCATGAAAATGGTAATGTCAAGCAGAAGTGTATATCTGATGAACTAATAGCTTTTCCCAATGGCAAAACAGTCTCAACCTGTTGTCAATTAGGAATTGATAAAATCCAAATGTACTTCCATGTAACATTCATGTATAGCAAGCACTCACGTGACTGTCGTTAATCCAACAGTCAAGGATCACACAGATGTGTGAAATTCCAGCCATTAGTTGTGTTTGAGCTCTGCCCAAATATTTTCATTCCATAAACTTTTCAAGGTTAATGGAGATCATTATTGAATTCTGAGCTTTGAAATGACTAGGACATGTCACTGTCATAGAAATGTTGTTGGAATTAGTGACAAGACATTTAAGCTAGTGTTTTCTTTTTATCAAAGGATTGTAACCAAACAGCTAATATCTGAAATACTAGCCAATATTTAGGAGTTTTAAATCAAAATAATGTATATTCTTAATTTTGGTGTTTGTATGAGCCCCTGTAGGAAATAACTCCAGTCTTACTTTTAGGAAGCTTCCTGTCGTTATTGTCGCTGAGAGATAAAAAAAAAATTTTCTTATTTAATACCTAATGTTTATATATGTATCAGGTATTATCATAGGTGCATGTAAATCTTTGTCCGCTAGTAACTGACATACTGCTGACAAGACTTTCCAACAATACTTGAGGTGTTGTATACTGTAACATCAACTTATAAAATTGTTTCGTAACTACTCTGTATTTGAGAAACATAACATAAGTAATTTTTTACATTTTGTTAAAATTGTTTATGAAGAACCCATTACAGCTAGTATTAGCCTGTTGTGTAGGGAGAAAGTATTAGCTCTCTCGACATGGGCTCAGGCAATTTGACTGACCACATGACCTCTTTGTAATCGATTAAAGTTTTTATAGATTTAATACTTCTAACTTTCAATATAGTGTATATAACTCCTATTTGGAGTCTTTCAGTTAATATTATAAGTCTGTCACATACAAAAATTATATTTTTAGTGAAGTATTTTTAATAAAATAAAATAAAGATTTGTCCATTAATATATTGGACTATTCAAAACAAATACTCCATGTGCATAGTAATTTTCATGTTAGAATTAAAAATACTTCATCTCAAAAATCTCAAATTTCCTTTGTGTAATCCCTGAAGCCTACCTAAATGCTATTTCAAACGTTTTTATCAGTAAAACTTTATCCGTTACTTTCTCTATCCTATCTCAAAAAGGGATTGGTAAATTAAACCAGCATCGTAACCACCAAAAAAAACAAACTAAATTAACCTTCTTTTCTTTCTAGAATTGTAACATGAAACTACATTTGTTTCTTCTAAGTAGCTCTAAGCTCATAACAGTATACATCTATTTATAATTAAATTTTATTGTTATGTTGCCCTTTGAACCATATCTAACTACTAATCAAGCCATTATAAGTTATAAATCACTCGGAAAATGTGCAGCTCATGTTACGCTATCGAATTACATTACTCACAAGCTGCTCGCATTCATGCCTCGTGAACCATTTTAATTATATTGTTATTATTATTATTTATTTTACCTAATCTAGTCTTAAATAACTTAAAAAGATCCGTATTTTTAGATTTTAGTTACTTTTATACTAATAAGTAAAAAATAAATATGAAAAACAAGAAATAAAGTACTTACCCAATCTTCCTTTTTTTTTTGCCCTTGATTGTCGAGCACAGTTAAGCCTGATTTTTTTATAGTAATGCACTAAATAATTTTTATTTAATAAAATAATGCACCAAAGAACATAGACTAATAACTTGCAAAGAGTAGACAAATTCCCCTAACTCTCAAACTTTTTCTGCCTTACTAACTATGCGACAAGAGTCATTACAAATTCATCCAAGCTAGTTGTTAACTTTCCCATGGGAACAATGTTGGTACTCTGAGTGAAATTATGTTCAGAACATAATGTTACACAGTATGTCACTTGACAGATGAAAACCTTGACTTTCTATTGGTTATATAATAAAACGTAAGAAAGGACTATCAACAAACTTAAAACTTGTATAGTATTAAAATATGGATTATTAGCTAAGATTTTATGCTATTCTAATTGGTATAACATAAACAAAAAGTAGTTTAATACAATTTTGAATAATTTAAGATGCTAAAACCTTGTGTCATATGCAGTAAAGGAGACCCGGGTTGATATGGTTAAGGTAATACTTCATGTTTAATGTCCAAATCCAGTAATTCTGGGTATCAAGTAGTGTGAGTTACACACTTCTGCTTATATATATATGTGTGTGTGTGTGTGTTTGTTTGTTGCTTGAATGTTATGACAAATGCTATTTATCAAAGTATGATAATTGTTCTTTCATTCCTAAAATTGTAGTTTTCTATCTTATATGTATCATATATAGTAGCTCCTTTTATCTGAACTTTTACTGTAATATAAACCCACATGTATTGTGTGTATATTTTTGCATACATGAATACATATTTGTGTTTAAGAATTGTTCTTTTGTGTTTTTCTCAGTTACTCAAGCATTTTAAAGCTTCCACCAAGTATTGTAATGTTTCTGCAATAAAGATGTAAATTGAAATGTTGGGAAATTCACTAAACAGTTGTATTTGGAGTGAAAAGGTTGTTTACATATATATCAATATTTATTATTCAGTTCATGTATATTTTCCCAAAGTAATCTATTTCTTTTATGACTAATAAATTATAATTTGATGAGTTCAATTGCCTTGATAACTGCAAGACTGAAAATTATATTAGATATTATGATTGTAGTTCAGTACTAAACAAGTCGTTAAAAGAATGGAGCAAATTGCTGTAGATGCACATGTAATAATTAAGGAACATCTTTTGCATTATACAGCTCATGTTTTTTAAATCTGGCCAGTATTTTACTATCCACTATGGTAGTATTCTTCACGGTATCAGTTCATCTGAAGCCTGGTATGGTGTTTGATTCACAATCTACTGGTTGTAGGTTTGAATTCCAACCCTGAATGTGCTTGGACTTTAAGCCATAGGATCATTATAATGTAATGATCAGTCCCACTTTCATTGATAAAGAGTAGTCCAAGAGTTCATAGTGGGCAGTAATGACTAGCTGCCATACCTCTATTCAACAAAACAGCTCAACTGCAATTAGGATTGGTATACATCTAGTCATAGATCATTGAAACCTGGCTGTTGATCCTTAAAAGATTGTTGAAAGCCTTTTAATTTTTTGTTTTGATGAGCATATTAACACTGTAATAAATATAACAATAGTTAAGCTATAATTCTCTCTCCTTTATACATTTTGATATTAAATTATAAAAGTGTATTTAAAAAATAAAACTGATTTTACTCCTGTTATTTGTAATTGCAACTTCTAAATTTTTGATAATTATATTTAAATGTATTTTCTCAATAATGTTTATTTATGTGTACATAAAATGTTGTTATCCTTCAAAATCACCACACAAGTTGTCCATTCAATTGCTGATAACATGTATATGTAATTATATGGGTGTGAATATGTTAGAGCTTCCTTCAGTATAAAGTGCATTAATATATAATTTCTTCTTTCTTGTGGCCTGGCCTGGGCTGGTGGTTAAGGCACTCAACTCTCAATCTAAGGGTCATGGGTATGAATCCCCATCACCAAATGTACTTGTCCTTTCAGCTTTTGGGGCATTATAATATAACAGTCAATCCCATTATTAATTGGTAAAAGAGTAGCCCATGAGTTGGCAGTGGGTGGTGTTGACTAGCTGCTTTTCCTGCTAAATTAGGGATGGCTAAAGCAGATATTCCTCATGTAGCTTTGTGCAAAATTCCAAATAAACCAAACCAGTTTTTCTTTTCTTTTCTTTTTAGGTGGGCTTCATGCAATAGCAGAACTCATTCAAGTTGATCATGAAATCCATGGCAATACAAGTGACACATACTGTGTGACTTTGAGACGATATGCTGGCATGGCATTAACCAACCTCACATTTGGTGATGGTACTAACAAAGCTCTTTTGTGTTCAAAGAAAGCATTTATTCATGCTTTAGTGGCTCAGTTACATTCACCATGTGAAGATCTTCGACAGGTGAACTTTTATGTTGTATTTAAACATTTGCTTTAACTGATTAGTGATTTTGTTGATTTTGAAAAGACAGTTGATTTTTTTGTAATTGGTACAACTTATTTCTGATGTTCTGTTTTTTCTTTGTTTTTATTACCAGAATATTTATTTCAGTCTAATGCTGTTTTTCCATTAATATTTTTAAATGATTGGATTTATTTGTCTGAAGCTATTTCTGGAATTAAAGAAAATATATTTCATTTCTGGGTTTTAAATATCATTGATTAAATAATGTTATGCAAAGAATAGCCTACTGCCTTATATTTTGTTGCAGTCCTTGTCCAGTTTTATATCTTGCACTATTCTATCATTACTGAGAAAGTTAAGATTTGGTGGTACCTTGTTTTCTCACTGTTCTTAAGTTTGCTTATAGTGTTTTCTTTCCAACAGGTTACAGCAAGTGTCCTACGAAATCTTTCATGGAGAGCTGATGCTATAAGTAAACAAACCTTGCGGGAGGCTGGGAGTGTTACAACACTTATGAAAGCTGCTATTGAAGCTAACAAAGAATCTACTTTAAAGAGCATTTTGTCTGCACTCTGGAACCTCTCAGCTCACTGTAGTAGTAATAAGGCAGAAATATGTGCCATAGATGGTGCATTAGCTTTTTTAGTTAGTACTCTAACCTATAAAAGTCCTTCCAAGGTTTTGGCAATAATTGAGAATGGTGGTGGCATTCTTAGAAATATTTCTAGCCATATCGCTGTTCGAGAAGACTATCGCATAATCTTAAGGAAACATAACTGTTTACAAATTCTCCTGCAGCATTTGAAATCTCCTAGTCTTACAGTAGTAAGTAATGCTTGTGGTACCCTGTGGAACTTGTCTGCTCGTTGTGCTGAAGACCAAAGAGCTCTTTGGGAAATGGGAGCTGTAGGAATGCTTCGCAACCTGGTCCATTCTAAACACAAAATGATATCAATGGGAAGTTCAGCAGCTCTCAAAAACCTTCTCTCTTCAAAACCTCCTGGTATGTGTTTAACTTCATCAACTTCTTCAGATGGCAGTCAGTGTAGATCTGGAACTGACAAAATGCCATCCTTACATGTTCGAAAGATGAGAGCATTGGAGGCTGAATTAGATCAAAGTTTATCAGAAACTTATGACAACTTGGACAGCCCCAAAGCAAGTCCAACTTATCCTTCTCAACTAGATGGTAAATTTCTCTTTGATCCTAACTCACAGAATTCAAGCAGTCCACAGCATTTTATTTCTATTCCTGGAAGAATGTATCATAGTGTTGCAGGCCAGATTTCTACAGCTAATCCTGTTCCTCGTTCTGAAAGTCATGATAGTCTTGGCAGCTGTCAGTCAGAACCTATACATAGAACAGGTCGTTCAGAAGATTTTTCTCCATTTAGAAAAGATAGGTTCTATCCAGTCCTAAGTGGAAGAAATTCAGGTGCACAATGGTCAGAACAGGCCCATTCAAGAACAGATCATATAAAAATTTCACATCCTTTAGAAAATAGTGGGCAGCTATATAACCCAAAATCACATAGTTTCGTTCTTTCATCATCAGGTGATAGAGTAGAAACACCAGTTCCATCAGTAGAAAATGAAATCCATAATGTAAATGGACGCTCTGGACCTCTTTGTGCTGAAAGGCGCACTTGCTGGGAAGGTTCTCCAAGTGTCACAGAGAGTGAACCTGGCACTTCAACATCTTGTAGGAAGATACCACAATATACAAACCTAGTTCAAAAGATGGAGTCAGTGAATATTGAAGATGACAGTTCTCGTGATCAAGTGATTGATTACAGCTTGAAATACTCTGATGAGAATATCAACATATCTGTTAAACCTCCACAAATTAATCAGGTCAAAGATATAGCAAAACAAAAGAGGGAGCAACAGGTAGTCAGACCTTATCCAACACGTGGTAGCTCTGACACAGGAGCAGCTGCTATCAAACCTGGAGGAAGTCTGCAAGACTCTTCAGGTGGAGAAAGAATACATTGTTCTCCACACCTAAGTCCACTAAATGTGAAAAACAGTGACGGAAGTAAAGGTGTGGTTTGTAAAGACTTCTCAGAGATGAATCTTGACAGCCCAGATCAACCTACTGATTTCAGTCAGAAGTACAGAGAAAATTTGGAGGAAACTGATAGTTATGAAGAGATGCCTCCAGTTTCACCCAAGGTTAAAAGTTTTCGAGATCGGCGCAAGCAGCCATCAATTAATGATGATTCACTAAAAATATACTGTACTGAAGGCACACCATTAAACTTTTCCACAGCCTCTTCTCTTACAGACCTTCATGATCTTCCTGATGCTGAATCCACTGCTGTTAAGCTTCCAAGAAAAGTTGATAGTGAAAGTGTTAACCAACAATCTGTTGACCAGGATGAGTTAAAGAAAACACACAAAAAAAGTATCATAGAAGAAAAAGCTACCTTGGAGAAAAAAACAACAGTTTGTCAAAACGATAAAGAAGGTACATGATGTTTTTGTGTAGTATACATTAATTGTATTGTTCTTATGATATAAGATAATTGAAAATGGATCATGTTTGATGGATACGTAATATGAAAAATGGATCTTTATATATCATGTTTACAATAGAACTCAGAATACTCCTCTCTTGGTAGTGTGCAAGTCAGCTGTAACATGATTACAGTTTAACCTTTTAAATTCCATCTACAGGTATAATGCCACCTTTGACCTTCATTAATAAAAATTAATAACATATAAAAGTGTCACCATACTTGACACTTGGGCACTTAAGGCACATGGTATGATTACTATGGAAATTTTTAAGATATAAATGTAATTTTTTTATCAATATGTGCTTTGTAATACAATTAAAATTACTGCATAACATAGCCATTTACTATGCTGTTATGCATGACATACTTAGCCATTCACCTGAAAGCCAGTTTTCATAAATTTACTATAGTATGTTCACATTATTTCATATAAAAAGATTATCCATGTCCTTCTTTTACAAGTTTAGGCAACATGTCTCTTACCTTTGTTGGAGAGTGAAATATAATCCTAACATTGATCAACTTGATGATAGCTTTACTTGTAAGTTCTTGTAAACAGAACATTAATGCTGAGACAGTTACTTCAGTAAAATAAATAACATGGAAGTAAACTCCTTAAGTTAATTTATTACCTTTTCATAGCCTACAAGTTATAGAAAACCATATCTAAATGACAAAATAAAAATATTGTTCAAGCTTAAGTCTTGTAGAATTTTACATTCTAGTGTAGCTACACAAGAGAGAGAAGGAAGTACTATGACAAATAGATTGTAAGAAATAAAATAATCCCAGGTTTCAGACAATAAATTTACGACTTTGTCAGTGTCGCAAACTTGAAAATTGTATTCAAATAAAAAGATGCAGATAGTTCGAGACATCTTCAACTTAAAAAATTCACCGTTTTAAAGCTATTTGAACTAAAAATAGGCCTAAATAAATGCAAAATCTACAAAATTTGTGGCTTAGTTTCATCCTCTCACAAGTTGTATCTGCACAGGTGAGAAATTTAGTTATTTTTACCATCTGAATAATAATTATAACAGGGGGGTAGAAATTGTACATTAAAGATAGCAGTTTTGATTTTTGTTTCAATTACTTCATCCAAAATGAATGGTCATAAAATGTCAAAAACGAATTTGAAATCTCAAGTTGTCACTTGTAATTTTTTTTGTATGAAATATGTAGGGGTACATCTCAAGTAGTTTTTCAAAATATTATATTTTCTCTCTGTAAAAACCCAGGATACCTGGGCTGGAAAGGGTAAAGCTGTTAAATTGTTATGAATTCAAATTCCCATCCATTTAATATATTGTCATGGTTATGAACTAAATTCTTTTCAATTTCATGGATTTGTTTGGGCTATGATGTGAGGTTTAAAATGAGATAGTTCTGAAAATTTTCAGTAGAATTGTAGTGATTTCTGGTGTGCTTGGATTTATAGGTTTATTAAAAGTAATACTTCACTTAAGCTAAAGAGCAGAACAACAATAGTGAATTTTAAACTTGCTATATGTTAAAGAAATTGGTAATTTAAAGTGAGTTAAAATATTATTTATGAATTAGTTTGTATTAATATTTCTGTAATTTTGGTTCATTTGAAAGATAAGGAATCTCAGTACATAAAAAGGTGGTAATGACTGTTTTTTAATTTATTTTCAAACATTATTTTGCGATCAGGATGAAATTAAGATGAAAATCTCTGCCTGATTAAAAGGTAGTAATTTAATGTTATTTTTCTTATACTCATCTTAACTAGATGTATTTGTAACATCTGAAAAGTTTTGTTTTCAAAGTATTTTTTTGTATTTAGTAAAAACTGTTACATTTGGAGAAAAAGTGAACTATGCAGAGGAAACTCCACTAATGTTTTCAAGATCCAGTTCTTTGGGATCTTTGAGCAGTTTTGATCAACATTCCATTCAAGATGACCGCAGCTCTATTGTTAGTGATTTTAGGTGAGGACAGCATAATTATTAAGTTGATAATAAGAAAGAAAAATTTTATGAATAATATTTCCCCCTATTTTCTTCATTTAAATTGTTCAGAAAATCATCAAAAATTTTCAATTTTACAGGTGTGTAATTTAATATTAGATATTTTCATAAAAAAATGTCTTGAACAAAAATATAATTTGTAGTAAAAAGATGTCTAAATTAAAAAAATCATATGTTTTAAGGTTTTGAGTGTCAATGCAAAAAAATTGTTTCATTGGTTATATGGGAAAGCAAAGAAATATTTCATCTTTTGAGTGAAGAGCCATACTAATTAGTCTGATGTTTTTATATTTTTTTTTCAAAATCCATGTATTCGGCAGACTAATAGCAAATGGAAAACAAAAATAAAGGTGAAATGTAATTCTCGGAAGGTTAATAACATGGGGCAGTAGGTATTTAAACACACTTTGTTAACTTTAAATATGACTTGCAATTTTTTTTAGGAAGAAATATTTTTACAAATTGTGGCATTGGTCAAATGATAAGTTGTTCATTGACAATACATAACTGGTAAATTAATTGACTTGGCATTACTAACCAAAACCAGGCCAGCCCTTTTCAATTTATTATATTGGCAGGGATGAGTTGTTTTTTTCCTTGTTTGGAAATTCCATATTTTTTCACTTTAAATATATTGATCCTGATGAGATTCATGAAAATAATTTGGGGAATAGGTTCATCAGCAGTGATGTGATTCTTCTTCTTCTTTATGACATTTACATACCGGTATTTAGTAGTAGAAAGACTTAAGAGTTGGCAAATTGAATTGGATTATAATGGCATAAGTGAACCAGTCACCTTCTTTGTTATTTACCTCTGAAAAATACAGTGAGGTGTAAGGTAGCTCCAAAACCTCCAGCAAATTTCTGCTATTATTATAGCAGTTCACACTTGTATCCTTCTATGAGGTTTTTATTGTACATATTTTTGTGTAGAATGGTAAATAATGTGTAAAGTGTTTATTAGAAATGTTAATGAAGATTTAGTTTCTTAGATTAGATTAATTAGGTAAAACCAAATACAACTTTTAGATAACTATCACAAGTGGATATATTTTATTGGTGTTTTTATTATATCCAAGTGTAAATAAAGGCAAGCTTTTTTCATTGTTCAGCATTGTGATAAAACTGTTTTGACACTTAATGTGAAATTTAAAGAATATGCATGTATTGAAGGCTTTTACTGGTTTAGACAATGTAAATATTCAGCATATTGTAATAACCCCATTTGTGTAGATAGTCTTAGTTTCGAAAGTTTAGGAAACTTATTGATGAAAAGGTAATGTATGATAAAGTTAAAATTAAATATGTTTAGATAATAGAATAGATTTAAATATTTAAAAAAATATTAAATGCTTTTCCAGTGTTTTCTTTCAGCATTTTTATATTCATTTATTTCAGCCGCAGAGCTAGTGAAGTAGTCTCTCCAAGTGAACTCCCAGATTCACCAAGTCAAACTATGCCTTCTACTCCTCCTCCAGCTACTAAACCAGCTGTTTTCAATTTTCCAAATAAGCATGTTATTCCTTGTTCAGAAACAATAACTTTTTCAAAACCAACATTTTCTTCTGCTTGCAACATTCCAAGTACCTTCCAGCAAAACCAACAGGAGGAGGATGAAGTAAGTACAGAGAAAGATGTTAAAACATTTGCTGTGGAAGGAACACCAGCTGAGTTTTCTAGAGCTACAAGTCTAAGTTCATTAACGATTGATGACAGCCTTCCAGCTTCCAGACAGGAACCAAGGGAAGAGCAGATTACAGAAACTATTGGAAATTCCTGTAAATCAGCAGAAAGTATAACTAAAAATTTCATTATAACTCCACAACAAAGTCCAGATGAAACTTTTGATTACCAAGATTTGGCTTCTGCTGAAGAAAAGAAAGAAAAGTGTGATGATGAAGATACATGTGAGGTTAGTGAAGAAGATATTCTTGCAGCATGTATTAGTTCTGGAATGCCTAACAATAACAGTTTGAATTGTCGAAACAATACAAGACTTCACAGTCGTATGAATAATCTTGGCACATCTGTAAGTCAGCCAAAACTGAGTAATATTCCAATTAAGTCCACCAATGCAAGACTTAGTCATCATGTAGCCAACATACCTAAGCCTTTAGTTCCATCTGGAGCTGCACAGTCACTAGAAAAAACTAGTGATAAAACTACCAACCTTTACAGTGCTCAGCAGAGGTTTGGTGAAGACTCTTTTAAGGTATACAACACTGAAGATACTCCCTTGAATCTTTCACATGCCACATCCTTGAGTGATATAAGTGGGATTTCAGCAGTTTGTGATAGTGACAAGAAGAGTAGTCATTCACTCAACCTCTCCAATAGTGATAATCAATCTGACAGCAGTGCATTATGTGATGATAATGATAATATTTTACTGCAGTGTATTCAATCTGGGATGCCTACCCCTCAACCATCTCTATCGTCAACAGCTGTAAGTTCTGTGTCTGTTGAGAGTTCTCCTACAAGAGCCAAGTCAAAGCTTCCTCACATCTTGGTAAAAAATCTGAAGTCATCTTATATTACAAAACCTCAAGCTTCAAGCTCAGAAATGATACATCAGGTTTCACACCCCATCCCTCCAAAATCAGTGAAGCCAAAGCACAGCCATTGCTGTCTCAACAACAGGCCTCATGTAGACAGGAATGAAGAAAAACACACTTTTCCTTATTCATCCCACTCACCTAAAAGAAGTTCTGTTAAGCCATCTAAAAACTCAGAATCTTATTCTGAATCTCATACAAAGTCTCCATTCTGTGATTCACCTCGAGTGTACATGGTAGAAGGGACACCTGTAACTTTCTCTAGAAATGAGTCTCTCAGTTCCCTCAGCACAGAAGAATGTGAAGTTGACAAGGTGGTTAATGATTCTGATACTCAACATGACAAAAGTGATCTGGCTGGTAAGAATGCATTACAGTTTAAAATACTGTTAGAGTTCCAATTATTATTATTATATATATATATATTTTTTTTGTTATTTGGAAAGACTTAACCCTACTTCTATTTAATGTATATATTAATGTGTGGGGTTTGATCTACTGTCAAAAACCTAAAGATAACAAATGTACTGATTAAAATAGAACTGGATCGCACATAAATCACCTTTCAACTTTTGAACAAAAGAGCATTGCATGTTTATGATTTAACTCCATATCTGCATAACAAATATGGTATTTTGTTAAACTGCAGTTAAATATATTAATTATATACCTGGAGTACACTTAATTTAGGTTATACTGTGATATTTCTGTTGTGATTTCTTATGAGTAAAAAAGGAAATGGTTAACACTTTTTCTGTAAGTCTTCCTTTTTTGCTCAGTGAAGCTCAGCATTGATTTAAAGTTGTTATATTCATATTTCACTATATGTTTAAACACAAACACTTGAAACAGAAGAAAGAACAACACTAATGATCAAGCTCAAAGATCAAATGTTATATGAAATAAAAGCACTTTTCACTTTTGAATAACTCAAGTGGGAATAGTTATAGGTAGTTATTATATTTCAAGTTATGGAATAACCACATTAGTTGCAAAAAATAACTATATTAAATGATGTATATATATATATGTAGATATGTTTTTTTAAAAAACTGGATTAAATGACTAAACGATTACCCATACATTTTGAAATCACTATTTTTTCCAGGTACAGCAAGGCCAGTTGATAGAATGCCAAAGTTATCAAGTAAGTCTATAATACCAGTTAGCTTAAAACAGAAGAGTTCAACATCAGAGATTATCCCAGTCACCAATAACTTAGAACCACATTCTTTGTTGATCTCTAAAGAAAAACAAGAAATAAGAGACGGAGTGCCACAGTCTACAACAAAACAGAACTGTATTTTACCATCCAAAAAAAGCAGTGATATCCAAGAAGTGCATCAGGAATTAAAAACAACATTTCATGTAGAAGGAACACCTGTTTGTTTCTCAAGAAATAGTTCCTTGAGCTCTTTAAGTGTTGAGTCTTTTGAAGAAACCTCATGTTCTGAACAGGCATTACTGGATGCCTGTATTACTTCAGGAATGCCTAAAGACAAGTCAGTTAATAATAGGTCTGACAGAGGCTTCAAGTCATCATTGCACTCGGTAGAAAATCGAGGCCACAAGACATCAAAAAACTATAAAGAGGAAAAACATAAAAAAACTGAGCAAAATATTAAAGAAATGCAGTGTAAGAAAGATGAAAAGGAAACATCAACTATGGATGAAAAAGGAAAAGAAGATGAATATGCACAAGAAAAAGAACAATCTGATATCCCTTCTCAGACTACATTAAATAATGTTTATGGAGTTACAAAAGTGGAGAAAAATAATATATTTCAGGAACAGAGAAAAACAGATATATTAAAAGTAGAAGCATGTCTTAATATATTAGAAAATTCAACAGATTTTCAAAGTGAAGCTCAGAAAATTGTAGAAAAGGTAGAGGCAGAAGTACAGGATGACTTGACACAAAGCAGTATTAGTTGCATGTCAGATCTTGATAATGCCAAACCTCCATCTATTTTTATTGACTTAGGTTCTTTAAGTATGGCTAGTAGTGGCTTTTCTGATATTGTTCCTAGTTGCTCAAGAAATGGGGATCTAGCAAAAGAAGACTTTACAATGAATAACAAAGGATCCAAAAAGCACAAAATAAGAAATATGCCAGAAACTGTTCGACGTGCATTGTGTGTTAACTCTGACGCAAGCAAAACTCAAGCTTACATTGAGTCAGGCCAGAACAAAATGGCTTTACTGACAGATTCTTCAGATAGTCTCAGCATGAAAGGAAGTACTATTTCTGAAGTCTTAGAAAATGTGGATCCTCCATCCTTCATGGATATGTCACTCACTGGGAGTTGTACAAGTCTCAACAGTATTAGTTCTGATGTGTTGGAAAACAGATCACAATCCACCAATGAAGTATACTGCACAAAAGAAAGTAGTATTTTTGACCGTTTGAATGCTGCAGCATCTGTGGCTCAAGTTTATTCTCGAGAATTAAATACCATCATGACAGGAAGCATGAAAAGCAGCTGCAACTCTGAGATAATAGATCATGTGAAACCTCCATCATTCTATCAAGATATAGCAGAAGTAACAGCAGAGGACATCACAGAATTTGAATGTGATAATATTGTATCTGACATAGAGCTTGATGATGATCTTCCAAAGGATGATATGGACACTCATGTTCTTTCTACTGAAACACTGAAAGCTCCTCAGCTACATTCTTTACAGGATGAACAAGATGGTAGTACAGAAAATCTGACTTATGTTCTTGATGAATGTGAATCCATGTCTCTAGACAAAGAAACACTCGTTGATGACAGCAGTGATCAAAAGTTAAATTCGGACCACTCTATATCAAAAGTAGAGGCTGAAGCTTTAAAGGTTAATGCAACATTAGTTGTTTGTACTCTAAATGAAATGCAAGATGGTCAAGTAACAGTTGATGAGGTTGAATTTCAAGATAATATGTTGGAGGATGAAACTTTATCATTAGTTTCCAATGACTCTGAAGAAGAACTGGATGCAAATGATAAAGAACCTTTAGAACACACAGTTCTTAAAGGACCTCGTATTATCAGACCTATAAATAAGGAGACTATTAGACAAATGAAAGAAAAGAAAGTCATTATGTCACAGCAAAAGTTGCCAAAAGTTACCAAAACCCTTCTTCCAGCTAAGTCACCGAGAGCTGTGTGTAGTAGTAGTAATATTGAAAAAGACAGTAACTGCTCTTTATTAGCAAAGCCTACAAGCACTACTTCTCCTTCTGTGAGACCAACCAGAACCTCAGCTCTTAGAGCTACTCAGAAAAATGGACTTCAGAGTAGTCCTGAACCACCTTTTTTACCAACAAAGACAAATTTAATACAGACCTTATCTAACCCTGAACAAGCTAAAAATTGTTTCTCTAAGGAGCCTAATGAAGAGGAAAGCACTGTACAGAAAGATCTGAAAACTATTTCGAGTACAACTCAAGAAAATGAAGCAAAAAAGGAATGTCAGCCGGATGCTGAGGTCCCTAAACCAAGGCCCCTAGTTAAACAAGGTACCTTCACCAAAGAGAAACCAACTCAAAATGCGCCCCAAATATCACCCACAAGTAGCACAAATGAGCCGCAGGTTGCTTCGTCAAAACCAGAAACATTAGATAACACTAACAGATGCCAATGGAAGGGCACAAGATCTCAGGAAACCAGCAAAACTAAAGAAGAAGGAACTTGTAAATATGCTTCATCTAGTCTTGACAAACAAATTCAGTCAAGCGGCTCTTCCAGGACAAAAAGTGTTGCAAAAAGTAATGTGAATAAGCAAAGTGTAAATAGACCTGTTGGTTCAAAGAGCTTTGTTAGCAGAAGTTCTAGTGCTAGTAGTAGGTACAGTCGTTCAACCTTGAGTACTTACTCTACTAGTAATGGCAGTCTCTCTTCTTCATCTTCTTCTGGAACTCTGTCACTCCACACAAATGTTCCTCGAAAAGGAAGAGAAGCAACAAGCAAGATTGCATCTATTTGGAAGAAAACTGATGTTGGTGTAAAACCTGCAGAAAGAAAGAATTCACTAGGTTCAAGAAACAGCAGCTGGTCATCCTCAAGACAGAAATATGAGAGGAGTCCTTCTTTTCCTTGCAGGTATGTTGATGGAATGGATTGTTACTTCTATGAAGGCAAAATTAAAATTTTTGTCATCAGGATGTGTCAGACACCAAAATTTTATAATGTTGTAAAACCCATAGCCTTTATTATGTGCATACATTGAAACTTAAAATTTTACACACAGAAAAAAATATAAACCTTGTTAATTATTAACCAGGAGACAATAAGAGGTGAAGAATTCCTGTTTAACAAAACTATTTGTGTGTGTATTTAACACTAAGATGAATTTCAAATACAATGAAGATTGTTAAAATAAGAGATTTAACATAATTGAAAGTATAATAAATCTGTATATTAAAACTAATTTATTTGTCAACCATATTGTTGGTGTGAACGTGCTTTGTAGTCACTATGAGAAAAACGTTAGCTACTGGATTATACTAGTTTTGGAGAATTCTACTCCTCATCAGTAACCCTACACTAATCAAAGTGTAGATTGAACTGGACCTACCTTGAACTTAGACTTCAAGATTAAACAGTTCTCAGAATACTAAGTTTATTTATTATACCTGCTATTGTGCAGCTATATAATGTGAAGAACTGATTAGTGTCCAATGACACTATTTCTTCACTTCACCTATCCAGTGTATAGATTTTTCTCATGGTGACTACAAAGCACATTCACACCAACAATATGGTTGATACTTTTCATTATGATATAGGTCTAGCTTATTGATCTTTGGTTAACTTGTGTTC